GTTAGTTAAGAGACGAAATTACGTTAACTTAGTTATTTTTAATTGTACTGACATGTAATTACTTTTATTTTTTTGTTCCTGTACAAGACGCGTAGTTTGTTATTACACACATATATATATATATATATATATATATATTCATGTGTGTGTGTGTGTGTCCCTTTTAACTGGATACATACCACCGTATGCCTACATGCTACTAATGCTAGTTAATACCAGTTTTAGGTAAGTTAAGTATGGTATAATGTATATCTTTATAACATTCATGAGAAAGTGAAAACTGAGAATGAAATGGATTTGGAACAGAGCCCTTACTTACCGGTAAGTGCATTACTACAGCTTTCAGATTAAGTAAGACTCATTAATTACTTTATTGACATTTTAGGAAGAATATCAAAGATATTATAAAGCTATGCCAGTCTGACTTTGAAGATAATAATCCATGCATTATCATTGTTGTTGAAATAATGAAATTTTATAAATAACTATCGCATTCATTCCACTAATTAAAATATACATTTCAGTTCATAAAAAGTTTCAAAGCAGTATTGAATGTTGCTTCAATTTAGACGTATCGTAAATGAAACAAACAAACAAAAAAACACAACAACTTTGGGTACAGTAAGGAAGTGTGGTTATACAAAACAGATCGTCAATTTGAACAATCTGCCAGACTACAGATGTATCAAACAGATCACAACCACTTTGCAAGCCCGAATTACTTACAAACGTATGAACGAATATCGTTGTCAACTTCTGTTTTCAAATCAATATCTTCTTGTTGTAATGAACGAGTACTTTTGATACTCTTGTAGAGACTTTTACATTCACTTTATCAAATGTAGTAATCCCGACGTTGGGTTTTCAGTGCCCCATAGTAAAGTCTGACGACAGGTCATCGTTCCAAAGCGTGGAATATTTAGAAACTTTTAACAACTCCTTGCCCAGGAAGATCTCACCTTACTGACCAAAAGATATGGCAGAATCTATTATAATAATACTCAGTTTTTGTTTGTCCCGAAAAATGCACGCGCACTTTACTATCTAAGTGCGCATTCGCGCACACTTAATTTCAACGGATGTAAATATACTTTAGTATACTTTGATAGGTTGTTTAGGCAGAGTATTCATGATTAGTACACTGGAATGGATGGCAACTGTCTGTTGTAGAAAAAACACAAGTGTAGAGGACGACGTTGCGAAAGTCTTCCGTCTGAAGACTAAAGATGTCCTCTACACTTGTGTTTTTCTACAGCAGACAATTGCCGCCTATTCCAGTGTACTCATCATACTGTAGTAGGCATTTATACAACATATTAAAAGCGTACCAAAGGTTTTAGAGATGTCGTCAAACAACATAAGTTTATTTACTGATAGTATTAAGTACGGTAAAGTTTAGCCCTAACTAACCCAAAGCAAAAAACGTACTCAAGTTACAGTGTTGATTTATCTCCTTATCGAATATGGGCATTACTTAATAAAGGCTTAACTAATGTTAGGCCTAAGACAAATAAACTTACAAGATTTCAGGGTCTGTGATTGGAATACTTTTGTATTATTCTAGAAATACTGTATTTAAACAAGTACTTTTGCAATAAAGCTACTAATTTGATCACAAATGTTTTACGGGTCTCTGTTAGTATTTCATGAAAACGCTGGGTAAAGTAGCGAAAACAAACATTGTATCAATTCTTAGGAAATTGGAGAGCACCACCACAAACACAACTTCTAGAAGACCTCCGGCAGAGCTTATAATTATTCGTCTCTTCAGCACCAAACTTCCATGATTTGAACAACAACAAAATGATAATCAGTTCTGAGGAAGCTGCTAAAAAGAAAAAAAAACACTATGCTTATTCCCATAACAAAGCAGTCAACTCAAATAAAAAGTATGATACCATGTGCTAGTGTGTTTGACCAGGAACATAACGCAGAAAACTCCTTTTTATGATCCTATACTTGTTAGAGCCTCAGAAGGACCAATGGTAACGGTACAAAGATCGGGACAACAGGTCACCTGAAATGAATCCTATTTCAAAATACTGCCACAGGAACACGGATTGTATAGACGGCAAAATTTTTACTTTAATGAGTTAGATGACGTAACAGCACACGGTTAGAAAACCAAAGCTACGAAAGAAACGGAAAACCAGGCAACAACAAAACACTATCGGAAGAGAAAACCAATTACTTTCTTTAGAGTTAACTTATGAAATGTTCATGTTGGTATGATAATATTTATACATTGATTTGAAATAAAAAAATTCTATTCATATCATTTTAGCAATCGTTAAAACCACCCCATTTTTCTTGTTTTGTTGATGATTCAAATATCACATGGTAGCCTTTTGTTTATATGTTTATCTATCTATATACATGTGTGTGTGTGGTGGGGGGGGAGGAGGAGGAGGAGGAGATGATATAGCCATTTTATCTTACATAAACAATTATATTTTAATTATTTATTT